CAGGATTGAACTCAGGGGTACACGACCACTGAGTCACATCCCCAGCCCTATTTTATATTTTATGTAGAGACAGGGTCTCACTGAGTTGCTTAGTGCCTTGCTATTGCTGAGGCTGACTTTGAACTCACAATCCTCCTGTCTCATCCTCCTGAGCCGCTGGGATTACAGGTGTGCAGCACGGGGATTGGCTCATCTACTCAGTTAGGCAATCAGAGAAGAAAATGAACTGGGTAGGAGGTACCAGGCTAAAAGCTAGTTGTGAAGGAAGGAACAGACTCTTGCCTTCATGGGATCTACATTCTAGAGGTAAAGACAGACCTTCGACAATTTCCCCAGGTAATTCTTTAAAGAGAAGCAGAAGACACTTCACAAGTGTGGGGAACGGAGGGCTGCCTTAGCTAGTCCAGGGAGGAGAGATCTCATAAAAATCTTCTCTAAGAAGTGACATTTACACTAAGACATGAAGGATGAGTTACTGTGAGCGTAGGCCCTGGAGGATGGAAAGGCAGAGCATCAGAATAGCTGCAGAGCTTACAGGCCTGGAAAGGCAGGCAGGCTGTGGGAAGAGGGCACCACATGAAATCCGAGAGGCAGGCGACTCTGCAGGACCTTTTACAGCCTTGTTAATATTTTGGACTTTATTCTGGCAGAAACTGGAAGCCTCTGAAGAGTTCTAACAGAGGCCTGACAAGATCAGGTTTGCATGTTAAAATCCTCATTCGGAGAGTGAACAGGGAGAAGGTGAGAGTGGGTGTCACAGGGCATTCAACACTAAAATAACATAAGCTAAAGAATGTTCACATGCTTTTAACAATTTCCTAAACATTTTCCTGCCATTTGGTCAATGTTTTATTCACCAAAAAATATTCTCAACGGTTGCTTCTTACAAACTTCTGCATAACTAAAGGGAAGGGAACACACAGGTTCTGAAGCAAGCACACAGCAGGAAGCTTGGTTAGACTGGGCTCAGGGGCACAGTGGTTCATAATGGTTGCAAAGCCCTGGGGCCAGTAGAAGGAAGTAGCCACAAAAAGAAACAGTACTTCCTGTCAGAAACTCTGTACAAGCAATTTCTTTTTTCTTTTTCTTTTTTCCTGTAAATATCTCCCCCCCCCCTTTTCTGGTTGTATACAAAGTATGTTCACATCCATTCGTGTCTTCACACATGTACTTTGGATAATGACGTCCATCACATTCCACCATCATTGCTAACCCCCTGCCCACTCCCTTCCCCTCCCACCCCTCTTCCTAATCTAGAGTTCATCTATTCCTCCCATGCTCCCCCTCCCTACCCCACTATGAATCAGCCTCCTTATAGCCGAGAGAACACTCGGCATTTGTTTTTTGGGGGAATTGGCTAATTTCACTTAGCCTTATCTTCTCCAACTCCATCCATTTACCTGCAAATGCCATGATCTTATTCTCTTTTATTGCTGAGTAATATTCCATTGTGTATATATGTCACATTTTTTTTAATCCGTTCATCTACTGACGGGCATCTAGGTTGGTTCCACAGTTTTGCTATTGTGAATTGTGCTGTGTACAAGCAATTCTTATGAATTACATTTTCTCTGGGGATGTGATAATATTAATATATAACCCATGTCCCTAAATGAGGTTTCTCAAATAGTCAACTGTATATTTTTACCCAGAAAACACTGAGAGTAAGTACACAGAAGTAAATGTAAATATTGTCATGCATATCATTTCCTGCTAAACTGCTTGCAAAGAGTCAATATAGCAAACTGTAAGCATTACTTATTGAAGGTA